AATTCATTTGAAATCCTCAAGACACTTCTCATCAACTGTAGATTAAATGCAAAATCAAATGTCTGTATCGACTCCAATAAATTTGTCGTATCAGATCTTTAATCACAAGAACAAAAGTCATTTTCAACAATCATTGCAAGTACATCACTAACAGAAGAGAACATAGCAAGTAAGCTGACCAAAGAATTATAAGGTGAACCCCATCGTGTATCATTAGAACATTAAAGGGTTGTTTCTTGATCAAGTCCCTGTCCACTGAAAATCTCACATTTCTCCAATGCCTCAACAATAAAGTCTGATTATTTCTCTCGAAGAAGATCACAACGTTTAGAAGATGCTCAAACAGTATTTATCACATCACCAACTACACGAAAGAAGTTTGTAGTATGAATATTCTTCTTTGCAACAGCTACAAGAGCTAGTTGGAGTTGAAGAGCAAAATAATGAATGTAAAAGGCACAAGGATTCTCCTTTAAAATGAGTGCTTTCAAACCATTAAACTTGTCTTGCATATTACTTGCCTCACAACCTTGTCCTCTCAAGCTAGATATGGTCAAGTTACATCTAGAAAATACCTTATCAATTGCAATCTTAAGTGATAGAGTCGTGGTAGTGGTAAATGTTCAATCTCTTTGAAACGTTCATTCACATGTCCACTGTTATTTAAATAACGTAATACAATTGACATTTGCTCCTTCATTGACACATCACGAGATTCATCAACTAGAATAGAAAATAATGAACCGCCAACATTTTTTATAATAACATTGATCGTCTCAACAGCACAAGCATTTACTATATCCTTTTGAACATCATGTGATGTCAATTTGCAATTTTGAGGAGCATTTTCAAATGTCACAGTATTAACATCTTCATTATGAGCAGACAAAAATTCTAATAGGACTAAGAAATTGCCTGAATTGAGGGAATCACTGGACTCATCATGTCCCCGAAATAAGTGCCCTTGTCGCAATAGAAGACGAAACAATCAATAGATGCATTGAGACAGGTAACATATGCACTTCGTACTTGTTCTGATTGCTTGTACAAAACTGATTCAATGTGTTGATCTTGATTTATCAAAGCTTAGCACTTCATGTGAGCTTGATTATGTGCACTATCACGCTCTCCAATATGATTATGAAGCTTTTTCTTCTCTTTCCAATATATAAAACCTTCACCAACAAAAACTCACTCCCATCTTGCTTTCTAGAACTTGATTTGAAAAGATAACAATACAAACAATAAGCATCATCTTTTTCACCACTATACTCCAACCAAGAACCGAACTCTTTACACCAAGAAGGATTGAATCGTCTAACTTTTACTCCAAATTGTCATTTTGGAAAGTCATGATCTCGTAGCTGACAAGGACCCTTTAACATATACGTTCTTCGACCTTGATCTCGGATGTTAGCATTGTAATAAAAAATGGGTATCCTTAGATTAGGATCAGTTGGAAGTTTAGTGACGTCAAATTTCACATGATTTGACGTCTGCCCAACAACATTTAAGTTGTTCAAATCAGTCTTTCTTTGAAAGAATATCTTCATTTTATATCTGGATATAAAAATTTGATATCTAATTAAGACTTTATGTAATTCTCAGTTGCAATTATATAAGTTCAGATAAAAACATTCATAAAGTTCAACCAAGTCCAACAATTCATATAAAAGCATTCAGAAAGTTCAAATCAAACTGAAAGTATGATAATCAAATTCAACATTTGAGATACAATCAGATAAAGACATGACACATGAGCAACCAGTCCAGTCCAACCAAGTCCAACATCCAAAATTGCCCAAAAAATTCTCATTCACCGAATCACCAAACCACAAAACCACCGAATCTCCAAAAAATTCTCATTCACGATTCACCAAATTGGTAATAACCAATGAGTCAATGACCAAACCACAGAATCACCAAAAAAAAAATCAACATAGGGAAAAATCACCAATGCCCAATACGGTTTATGCAAAATCAACAAAGGAAAAACAATAGCTAGACCTTTCTAGAGCTTGAATATAGATCAAAGAGGAAAATATAATCAAAGAGCCTAGACTTACAGTTGGTCTAGGACTCGAATCGAAATCACGGGAAAATGGGCAGACGACAGCAGTGCTGGTGTACAAAGGCGAATCTCGAAGGCTCGAAGCAGAGTGGGCAGACCGCATACGGCAGTGCACTCGAAGTAACTGCTGGTGGGACTCGGGAGGAGAGGTTGAATCGCCGGCACCTACATGAGGCGGCTGAGGCGACGGTGGGGTTGAATTGAAATCGAGATTTGGGGTTGGGCTGGGAGATAATTCAATGTGTTGATTTTAATTTTTTGAATGGGCTGGGTAGTTTCTTGGGCCAGGAGATTAATTGACTTAAAAAAAAAAAATAATAATAATCTGGGCCGGGGTTGAGCCCATAAGTTCAGGCCCACCCTGGTCCTTATTAGGCTCCACCCCTGCTTAGATATTATTGTTCATATAATTATACTCGTCGTACTTGCCATTTACGTTGGCTGTCGGATTTGTCTCGGTTAAAAGTCATAAAGTAAGTTTAATCAGAAATTTACTTTGGTCGAGGCATTAACTTCAAATGACAATATTTTAAAAATGGTCCAAAATATGAACAAAAAAAAAGGTGAAGAGTGGCGGTTGAATCAGAGTTTCAAAATTAAATAAATAAATAAATATATATAGAAAATTAAAAATGAACTAGCCAAACCAGTTATGGTTCACTCGAGTTTCAGGTGAATTAGCCTCTGCTTAAAATATTAAATTGTTTTTCTATTTAGTCATTTTCAGACATTATTTTCAACTACATACTTACAGTTATTAACCATATATTTTGTGAAAGTGGTAATTACACAAAACCATACTTTAAGTATTAAACCTTCCAAAATCAGATTAGAAATTTAATATTTCCAAAATTAGATATTTTTATTAATTAATATATTATTACTAAATAAAATATATGATTAAATTAAATTAATTTATAAACCAAACCCTAACTCTCTCCACCCACCTCTCATTTCCCCAAACCCGTCTCTCTCTAACTCTCCTCTCTCTGGCTGAACTCTCCTCTTGTCGCCAAAACCCATCTTTCTCTTAACACTCCTCTCGCTGCAGTCATCACGCTACGACCTTTGCCACCTCCACGCAACGCCCGCTGCAGCCATCAGAAGAATCACAGTCACTACAGAGCTCGTCGCTACGAGAAGGTGCCACCGGAAGACATTACTGCAATGCTGCTACCCGCGACGCTCTTTCTCTCTATCCTCTCCCTGTGAGCCGACGTTGCTGCATTCCGTCGACGGAGCTCTTCGCTACTAGAAGGCTCCACCGAGCATTGGGATGCCGCTACCCATGGCGCTACAAAAAGTACTGCAAAATTGGTGGCTAAGTACGTGCCCAAAATGCCAATATTGTCCATTGTGGTTCCTAAAATCAAAATCAAGACTGATTCCTTTTATTGGTCTTGTAGTGATGAGTCCCTGCTAGGCACAACCTTATTTACAGGGGGTTGGTTCATGTTCTGTGTGCAGGATCTGCAAGGGCTTCTCATGAAGAATCAACTGAGGAAATACTGGAATTCGACCTTGAATATGCTAAATCGAAAGGACTTTGCAAGGTGGAGGATGTTGTCATAGCCTTGCACCAAATTGGAATTGCATCCATCATCAAGATTGTGACCTTGAAGTGATGATGGTTTTTGATGTTTATGTTTGGTTTTGCAAAGGGTGACGGCGACATTATTAGTACTGGAGATTATCATGGTTTTTGGTTTGCCGTCGATTGGTGAGGCTGTGTTGGCGACGTTAGTGATGGTGGTTGTGATGAGTTGTCGGCGTTGGTAGCAGCGGCGGAGTAAGGTTAAGGCATGTGAGACAGTGGCGGTGGTGAGGAGGTGCTATATAGTCTATATGACCAATTCTATGACCAGAGCAATGTGCTATGACCTATGTTGTGACCTATGTTGTGACTTGAGCCATGTGCTGTGACCTATGCTGTGACTATCAACTGAAATCTGAGCGTTTAAAAATAACATGGGACTATGAACAAAATCGTAACTTGTACTGTGACCATTTGAAAATAACATGAGACTATGAACAAAATCGTGAGCCATGCGCAATATATTCCGTGACCTGTGCTGTGACCATTTGAAAATAATCCTTGACTATTAAGAAAAATATGAGACATGAGTTTTATCGTGTTATCAATCATTATAAACAAACAACTATGCGTTGTGACTTGTGACCTGTGTTGTGACTTATGACTTGTGACCTAAGTTGTGACTTGTGACATGGACCGTGAATTGTGATTTGTGACCGTAAAAAAAAACATGTCAATCGTACAAAAAATATAGCGGAGTTGTCACCGGAATATTCGCCGGAGTTGGAACAACTGCCGGAATCGGAGCAGTAGACGAAAAAATCGATGTCGGAACGGTCGCCGGAATAGTTGCCGAAAGGGTCACCTAAATCGGAATAGTCATCGGAACGATTGTCGGAAAGTTAACCGGAGTAGGGCGGTGATCGGAACGGTCTTCGGAGCGGTAGGGGTGGTGAAGGTGGGATGAGTTAATTATATTATATTAGAATTAAATATTTAATAATAAATTAATTTAATAATTTATTATTTCATAAATAAAAATTTAAATTTTTTTAATAAAAATCTGATTTTGAAAATTTCAAACTTGTTTTTTTATTTTTGAAATGGGCTAAACTTATTCTCTTGAATATGTAATCTTACCTTTGTGAAATCCAATGCCATTTCTCCTAAAAATTACCAAGTTTTATCTGACAATCACTTAGCCTACTCGATATTTTTTTAACAAGTTTGACACTTTCAGTTTTCATATATGATTTTGGATCTGTTGATGGTTGGTTTAGTTCTGTTAATTTAATGTTGTTGAATGAGACCAAAATCCTGTCTCTGCCCATATATCGACATGGATCGTTAACACTTTACTTATTATATTCACGAAAGTTGAAGATTTGATGAGTATTTTTTGTAAAATAATTTTCAAGATTAGCATGACTATGCTCACTGAATTTATCCACCAAGAAGTACTAGATATTTTCTCTTACGTTACTCATCAAATAGTAAAATCCATGATTATTAGAATTCCACATTATTTGAGAAAATATAAATGATCCACTTAATAAGGTGAGGACAATCCTCCCCTAATAAGCCGGTTTTATTAGGGGGAGTTAGACCCAATATTCCTAACATGGTATCAGAGTTAGGCCCAATTATGCAATGTCGGGTGCCACCCAATATTGATTTGTTCACAGTTGTTTGGCATGGNTGTTTGGCATGGTCCACGCTGTGCGTGAGGAGGCGTATTAGAATCCCACATTGCTTGAGAAAATATAAATGATCCACTTAATAAGGTGAGTGCAATCCTCCCTTAATAAGCCGATTTTATTAGGTGGAGTTATGCCCAATATTTCTAACAACGATGATTACATGTCTTTTTAGTTTTTAATGGTCAAATGGACGCGAACCGTCCATCGAAGAGTTGTGTTGGCTTCTTCCTATATGGAGTTGACCTACTCTTGTAAATATCATGAATCCGAAATATTCTAGTCCCTTTCCTCGATCACCATTCGAATTTATATATTATTTGAATTAAATCACTGCCCACATAGGCACATATATATCCATTATATTTGCAAAACCGAACTCTCCGCATGAGAACCTTTTGTGATGTCCATTGCATTGAAATCTAGAGATCGTTTCAATTTTGTCTCATATTCCAAGCCCTAATTTGATTTTCAAGACGAGTAAATAAACAAAGGGTCAGAGTGAAGGAGTTTATGAAACCAAAATCGCATGTAGAAGTGATAGTTTTTAGCGCGCAGTCAGCTGCATAAGCAATCTCGTCCAAATACCTCAACAAAACCGTTTTAATAAACAGATACACGATGATACCTTAATCAGAATTTTGTAACTTTAGTCTCCATCCATGGAGCATATCACGAATCTCAAATTAATCTATTTTTTTTCGGTTTGCTAAACATTTCCATATATTCTTTTGACAATTTCCTATCTATTTCATTTTTATTTCGTATTCAAAAAAAAAAAAAAAATTAGAAATTAATTGAGAATAACACTTATAAACCCGAAAATAGATCCAAAATAGTTATCATCATCCAAACTCACCACTTGCTTTGAGATTCGAGATTTACTTTCCTGAATACTGCTACTTGTATACACTTGTTTTAGGCTATAACTGGACCAGCTTATGTCTCATCTCCAATAACTCGGGATATTAACAAGCCAAGTAACCTAATTATTGTTATATTTTATGGTTGATATAAATGAACTTAAATAATTAAAATAAGTCAACTCCTCTAAGTTGGAAAATTGCTCAGAATCCCAAATTTGATAACGAATAAAATATTCTAGTCTCTTTCAATGAGTCGACAAACAAAAGTAAAAGAATCTGGCTAACTCGGTGCCAATTATGAGTTATATTAGGAGGGTGTTTGGTGAGAATTAAAATTAGATTTTTAGTAGATCGTGATAGAACTTTTTGAAATGTGTGGTTAAAAAGATGTGGGACCCATGAAAGATGTGGTTAATATTGATTGTTTGACTTTGACTTAGATTAAAATCAGATTTTAATCCGACCCAAACAGGCTCTAGGATTGAATATTCGTACAATTTAAGAACATGTTTTGCACTAAATAATAAACTATATAACGCCATTGTTTGATTCACATGTTTTAAAAAATTCATTCTTTCAAAATTCATTTTCAACAACATATTTTTCAATAAAATAATATTCCACGTAAATTCGAAACCTTTCCTTATTTTTTAACCACATATTTTCCATCATATCATATCATAAAATACATTTTTTTTCTCAATAATGTGCATCAAACACCCCCAAAAGAAAATTTACCGGTAAAATTTGTGAGTCGTCTAGTTCTCTCTTGTGTGTGCATACTTTCTTTATTTGTAGAAAATAGGAATCTATTTCTAGTCCCTTCAAACAAGTAAATAAACAATAAAAGTATAACAAGAACGTGACCAATCTGGTGCAAATAATTAACATTGTTGTTTCAGGATTGAATATTCATATGATCCTGTTAGGTATTTCTAAAAGTATCCCACGTCTTTTGAAGATCATAAGATTCAGATCCATGATATTAAATTAAAACTATTGGTTTTATTTCCCATAAAAAGAAAGAAACTTACAAATCTTTCTTCTGTTGGGAATTTACTTAACATGCACAGCGGAAATTAAACAATTTTCAATTCCCAAACGAGGATCTGCAATGTGTTTAGATAGAAACTGTGATGAGAATGATACCTTTGATGAATTCCACAAACTCTTTTGCTTTTTCTTGAACTCCAATGATCACGATCTGCAATCCAAGCTG